CTGCTAAGTCCCAGCTAGCACTCCTGGAACATTATACATAAAGCAGCATAAGAGGATGCTAAAAGGTAGACATGAGACAGCAGGCTGGCCAGGGACTGAGAGCATATTGGTGAGTACTTTTTGTCTAGCGCATCCCGATCTACAAATGAAGAAGTCAGCAAGCCAGCAATGCAAAAAGGCGTGCACGTGCGCACACACACACACACACACACACACACACACACCACGGAGTCTACTTTCTATAGCCAAAGACCAGGAAAGGGGCAGCCTACCAAGACAGAAAGTTTAGCAATAACCGTATAGTGATACATAACAGACAAAAAAACAACAACCCCAACAACTGTGGTTTGACCCCCACTCATGCCAAGCTTAGACTCCCCTCACCAGGCTATAAGGAGGCACCTAACTGCATGCCCCCTCACCTGCTGTGGTGGTGCCAGAGTAGGGAGCTGGGACTGTCACTTTGCTGGGAAAGTAACAAGCCCCACCCATCCCCAAGTGGCGGTGGAAATCCCGCGGGGAGCCTGGACCTCACCTCCAGCAGGCAGTAACAGGACTGAACGTTTTCTCTCTAAGACTGGGAGCGCCACTCTTCCTCAACATAGTGCTGGAATTTCTTGCTAGTGCAATAAAGCATGAAAAGTAAATAAAAGGCATACAGATTGGAAAGGAAGAAATAAACCAGACTTGTTTGCAGATGACAGGATTGTCTATGTAGAAAAGTCCAAGACATCTACCAAAACATGCCTAGACCTGATGTATAGGTTCAGTAGAGTCTCAGGATATGAGACAAATAATGTAAAAACCTATTATGTTTCCATAAACCGCCATTGAACAGTTGGACAACAAAACTAAAAATACAACACCATTTGCATTCAACACAGTGAACACTTCATCATCAATCTAACAAAACATTTGTAGGCCTTCCATGGTGAAAACCACAAAATGCCAACGAAAGGAATCAGACAAGATCCAAATAAATGGAGAGAGACAGCGTGTTTGTGGTGAAGACGTCAGTTCTCCTCGAGTTAGTATACAGTTTCATGCAATTCCTGTGAAAATCTCAGCAAGATTTCTTGTAGGTATAGGTAAGATTATTTTAAAATTTATTAGGAAAGGCAAAGGAGCTAGAATAGCTAAGATAAGTTTGAAAAAGAAGGCTAAAAGTGGAAGGCTAAAATTGGGAAGTCTACCCAACTTCAAGACTTAATACATAGTTACGGTAGTCTAGATTGTGTGGTATTGGTGGAGGGGTAGACACACAGATCAATGGTGTGGAATAAGGAACCCAAAAATATGCCTCATTGATATTTGACAAAGATGCATTTCCATTCCGTGGAGGGGGGAGTAGCCTTTTCAACAAATATTGCAGGAGCTACTGGACAGTCATAGGTAAAAAAACAAAACAGAACAGAACAAAAAAGCACTCGATGCCTTATCTAAAAATTAACTCAGAATGGATCATGGACCTACATATACATTGTGAAATGGTAAAGTTTTTAGGAGAAAAAAATAGAAAATCTTTGAATCTAGACCTAGGCAAAGAGGTCTTAGATTTAATATCGATTGGATCAAAAACATAAAAGGAACATTTGATAAATTGGATTTCAGCAAAATTAAACACTTTTGCTCTGTGATAGACCTTGTTAAGAGGTTGAAAAGACAAGTTGCTGAGGAAGAAAAGACTTGTTAGCCTCTGCTCTGACAAAGGACTCATAGCTAGGATCAATGAAAACACTCAAAACTCAAAAGGAAACAATAACAGCAGCAAAACAACTCGATTAAAAAGTGGGCAGGAACGGGGCGCCTGGGTGGCGCAGTCGGTTAAGCGTCCGACTTCAGCCAGGTCACGATCTCGCGGTCCGGGAGTTCGAGCCCTGCGTCGGGCTCTGGGCTGATGGCTCAGAGCCTGGAGCCTGTTACTGATTCTGTGTCTCCCTCTCTGTCTGCCCCTCCCCCGTTCATGCTCTGTCTCTCTCTGTCCCAAAAAAATAAATAAACGTTAAAAAAAAAAAAAAAGTGGGCAGGAAGACATGAACAGAGATTTTGCCAAAGAGGATAAACAGATGGCAAGTAAGCAACTGAAAAGATGTTCACCACCATTAGCCATTAGGAAAATGCAAATGGAAAGCATGATGAGGTGTTACTACACATCTATCAGAATCGCTAAAATAAAAAAAAAGTGACAACATGAAATGCTGATGCAGATGTGGAGAAACTCAGCGATATCAGGGAACAAATGGTTGATACATGCATCAGGGATGACTCTCCAGAGAATCACACCGGGTAAAAAAGCCAATCCCCAAGATACATGCTGTGCAATTCCATTTATATAGCATTCTTAAAATGACAAGATTATAGAAATGAAGAACTGATTACTGGTTGCCAGAGTTTGGGAGGGGAGTGGGTGTGGCTGTAAAATGGCCACAGGAGAGATCATCGCAGTGATGGATGGAAATATTCTGTATCTCGATTGTGTCCATGTCAATATGCTTGTACTATGTTTGCAAGATGTTACCATGAGGGAAACTGGGGAAAGCGTACATGGATGGATCTCTCTGCATGATTTCTTACAACTGCATGTGAATCTATAATTATCTCAAAATAGAAAGTTTCATTTAAAAACAAAGAATAATAAATAATAGGGGGGAAAAAGCTATAGGGGAATTACAGGGTGTGGTGAGGGCTGAGGGGACACTGAACAGGGGTATGTGATAGAGAGAGACTCCTCCTCTCGTTGGGTCATCAGAGTTGGTAGTTGACCTGCTCCTAGACAAGACTAGAAATTCACTTTAAAACTAAGCTATGTAGAAGAAGGGAATGTATAAAAAGTAATTGTATAAGAACTTGGGTTGCCAATGACAGAAACCCAATTCAAATTGGCTTAGGGGGAAAAAAAAACCTGATAAAGGAATTTGGGCACCCATAACTGAAAAATCCAGGGATAATGGCTTCAGCTCAAGGATCTAGCTCCTTTTCGTGGCTCTGCTTTGAGGCAGCCTCATTAGCAGGTTGCATAGTGGCAAGGCAGGCCCCAGCAGCTCCAGGCTCAAATCCCACCCGTGTGGTACCCCAGGAGAAAGATGAGCCCTGTTTTCCAACAGCTTGAGCAAGAGTCCTGGGATCGGGTGTCACATGCCCATCCTTGAACGACTATCTGCGGCCAGAGGGAAGTGATGCTCTCATTGGCCGGGTGGTGGCCATGTGATCACGCCTAAAGGTGTTGGGGCGGGTGGGTGGTGAGGCCAGCTCCATACAAACCACATGACCTGAGAAGAGGGGAGCACTGGTCCCTTAACAGAATGGTTGCTGGTCAGGCAAAACTAACCTATGTATCCTTGTGGAATCCCAGAAAAACCTGCTTCTTCATTTGCCATCATCATGCTTTTAATTTCCACCTGTCTAAACACGTACCGCACATTGAACTAGTCTTGAGTTTCATTGCTCAGAGGAGAGAGTATCTGATTGGACCAACTTCCCACATGTTCAGCCCTCATCCAGTCATCTATGAACAGGGGGGCGGGGTCACCTACTGGACTCTTTGATGGACAAGGCCGTTCTAAGAGGGGCCAAGTGGACCCCATGCCTGTCTATTACAGCTACTCAGAGTTTCTGGGAGATCAAAATTAGCTCATTATCATGAAAGAATCCATTAATGGTTTTGGTGATAAGGTTCAGGTGATGATAGGGGATCCTTGGGAGAAAGGCTGAATTCGCATACTTCCCCTTGCTTTTCTTCTGGATGGCCAGGGGCTGACAAAGGGGAGCAGTGGGTGTGGGAGATGGGCTGCACTGACCTTGAGGAATGCATGGTGGTCACGTTGAGAGACCCAATGGGTGGCGGGCAAAAGGGGAGACGGGATGCTCTGAGACAGGGCAGCAAAGCTGAGCCCTTGATCTGGAGGAAACCAGTCATCAGGGCAGAGACTGGGGAGCAGGGACCGGGAGGCCTGACCGGTAGAACCAGGCTGGTACCCACTCCTGGTCAGAAGTAGGTGGGAGACCATTTCTAGAACGGACACTGGGTCAGAGACGCAGCAGCCTGGACAGCTGGTCTCCTAGCCCCGTGCGGCCCTTCCCTGCTTTCCAGTTGTCGGTAGGACAGATTCTCCAGCCCCGGCTGGCTCAGCATACACATCAGGTGCGTGTGGCCAAGAGTCCGCAGCTGTGCTTGGAGGAAGTGGACAACAGAAAGCCACACGGGTTGTTATAACTTAATCTCTCAGGGGGAGAGTTTGGAGATGAAGTCAGATAGAAGTGGGTGGGTAGTAAGAAGGTTGAAAATAGCAATGGTAGTAATGACCGCAAGCTGTTCTTGAGTGCCTGCTGTATGCGCCAGGCACTGTTCTAAGACGTTTTGAATGGCTCATTTCTTTTAACCCTTGCAACCATGCTGTGAAGTGGTGCTGTTGATGTGTCTGTTGAAGTGATATGAGGAATAAGAGGCAGAGGGGTTAAGCATCTTGCCCAAAGCATGCATGAACAGAGGTAATTTAACCCCCATGGAACCCAGCTTTTCGGGTGTCTGCCCCCATCCCCTTTTCTATCATCAACTTCACCTAATCACGCTCTCCCTCACTCCAGCATCCCCAACATCCTACAGACCAGAGACTGTTCTCTACTCCCTCATGCCTCCACACCTTTGCGCACTCCCTTCCCTCTTCCTGGGATGCCCTTCCCTCTGGCAAAGGCTCACTCATCCTCCAAGACCCTGGGCAACACAAGCATCACTGTGTTCTGGTGACCTTCCCGGAGGCTGGCCCCCTTGGATAGAAGGCCTCGCCCTTTTCTTGCCTCCCAGTGATGAACTCTGTCATGTCTGCATCCGTGCACAGACTGTGAGCGGGGCAGGGACCAAATCCTGTTCTGCTCTACGGCAGCAGCTGCTCAGGTCTGGCCCAGAGGAGGCAGCTGTGCAGGAGGAGCGCTTGTCTGGTGGGTGGGGTTTCCTGTGCCCGGCCCACCCTCACCGTGGCACCTCTCTCCTCGTCTGTTGGCAGCCTGGCGTGGGGGTCCTTTACCTGCTGCATGGCAGCCTCCGTCACCACACTCAACTCCTACACCAAGACGGTCATTGAGTTCCGGCACAAGCGCAAGGTCTTTGAGCAGGGCCACCGGGAGGAGCCAACCTTCATAGACCCTGAGGCCATCAAGTACTTCCGGGAGAGGTCAGTACACATGGGGTTGCCTCTGGCCACCATTGGGAAGCCAAAGCCTGGGGCTCAGCCTCAGTGGCCACAGGGCTCCAGTCAAAAACTGGAGTGAGTGATCTGACAGAAGCATCCCTGGGCGGTTGTGGGGTAGAAGGGACGGTCTGGGTGAGGCAGAGTTTGGACCCCATTGCGTTGGAATTTCTGGGACATTTTGATGTTTTGTTGGACGTGAGGTTGCCTTGTGCTCAGAACCCAAGAAACTAAGAAGAAGAAAACTGAGTCTGAGAGTTTGCCATTTAGCCCATGCTTCTTAGAACCAAGATAAGGGTGCACAGGGAATGAACCCAGGTCCCCTTCTTGGGCTCTGTCACAGCATTGAGTGAAAAGAGGACCCAGCAGTGGGGTTGTTTGTTGATGGCTGCTAGAGGAGGAGTCTCCTCAAGGTCAGGGACTGACCACCAGGCATCTGATCACCTGAGTCCTCAGAGTCCAGTTGGGAATAGAGGAAGTAACAATAAATGGTGAGTGTTTGAATGGATGGATGAATGGATGGATGGTTGAGTGTATGTATGGTGGGTGGGTGGATGGACGGATGGATGGATGGACGGATGGATGGGTGGGTGGATGGATGGATGGGTGGATGGGTGGATGGGTGGATGGGTTGTTGGGTGTATGTATGTTTTGT